AACCTGAGGAGGATAATAGAGTTGGAACACATAACACAGATGTCAGGGAATTCACTAATAAGTATAATGTAGCCCCATATAGGGCAGAGCAGTGGTAATTTTATGTCACAGAGAGTTGTAACTAACCAGTCGGTTTTACTACATCCTATATAGGATTCTGCGACTGCAATGCATATCTATGTTCAGTTAGACCAAACAGACCCGAATTCTCCTTTTTTCCCTCTACTCTAGTAACGCTCTTTCTTCCTAATAGCACTAGTAATAATACCAGCTTTTTGGACTCCGAGCTGCAGAGCATTCGAGGATCTCTCCGAAGATTGCAGAGCGCTGCTGCGGCCCTGATATCAAGCTTATTACATCCTCTCGTTTATAAACCTCGTATCAGCTCAAATATCAAAGAGTAACCGACGTTTATCCTGTAACTGCGTGTTATCTACCTCAATAATTTATTTCATTATTTTGGGTACCCTTTTATAATTGTCTAACTTTTTGGTTTCCTTTTATAACCCCGAGCTATTTTGGATGGGACTATGTTTGGCTTGTAAGTCCGCTGCCGAATTATCAGGATATAAAAGTTCATTGCTTTTTTGGGGAGATAAAAACATTTATTGTAATTGGATGGTGGTTTATTTAATAAAGAATAAAAATTGGTTTTTTCAGACAATTATCGCCCTCTGGATGGTAAGAGCTTAAGCTTGTTGGGTTGAAATCGGTTTATTGGTTGGTGGATGGGTAAACTGTGCAAGGGTAGTTTTCTGGGAAAGTGGAAGAGCTTCATGATGCTTGTAGTAGATGGCGTTATTTTACGGCCATTTTTTTTATTATTTAGCTAGATAAAATATAAAAAAATAGTAGTAATTTATGAAATTAGTAACCAGATCTTTTGCTAAAAGTATAAAATATCTTGTTTATAGATGAATTATTTTATTATCATAATTATAATAAAAAAAAAATTGGAATGTAAACTTGAAAGATTCAAAGAGGTGTTAAAAACTCGTTTTAAATAATTTATAATTTTTAAGTATTTAAGAAAATTAAAAATTTTTTAAATTAATAAATTAAACTACTATTTTAATGCATTTTCTGATTAAAAAAAAAATAAATTTAATTAAGATTTTAATTAAACAAATTTTATTTAAACAAATTTTGACATTTAAAGAAAATTAAGTTAATTTTGTCAAGTCAAAATTAAAATCGACATTTTACCAAAATTAAATACTTTAACACACTAAACTATCTCTGCATAAGTCTTGTGACTATTTTTTTATTAATTAAAAATTCTATAAATAAGATAAAAAAGGGTATAGGAATGTTAAGAAAAAAAATAAGATAAAAAAAATATTTAAACTTGACGTGTTAATGATTTATTAACTTATTTTAATATTTCACATACAATAGTATTATGCGTGAACGATCAAACATTGTATAAACAAAATTTACAAAATAAAGTATAAGTCTTTACAGCTAAAAGCTACTAATTTAGTAGTAGATCACATAGCTTCATACTTTTATTTATTTATTTATTTATTTATCATTCTTTTATATCTGTGTGCGAGGCACATTTGCTGTGCCCGACACTCAATCTAACTTTATTTATTTTTAATTTACTTTACGCTCTAAATCTTAACTTCTGATTATTAAATAAGGTAGCCTTTATTTAAACTAATTCATCTAATCATAATAATAATAATAATAATATAGATTTTATATTCATACATTATATAAATTGTATTGAGAAAGGGGTGGGGGTTTTATTCTGTTTATCTTCATCTTACTCCAGTATAATACACTCATTTATTATTATAATATAATATAATATAATAATTAAATTAATTTTTTGTTTCTTTTCTTCTACATGTAAATATAAAATTATTTATCATCATCTCTTATCGTTACACCACTTGATAATTTATCAATTCATACATATTTATCTGTAGATATAATATGTAAAATTGGTTTTTTAATCTGTATAGATTTAATATTTATATTTATATATATTTATTTACTCCAATGAGTTTTTGTCATGTTTCTAAATATTATTTTTATTTAATAATGTATTCACTGTAAAATATCTTTGCACTACTTTTAATTAATAATTATCATTTTTTATGGCTCATTAAAATTATTATTAATTATTACAATCATTTGTTATTGGAAAAACTTTTAAATATTAAGACGTCCGTCCTTTTTATGAGAGAAAACAATTTTTAAGCTTGAGGTAAAATTAATAACTCGATGAAATTTGATCTTGATTTTTAAATAAATTTTAATAAAACGAGATTGGAGGATATGTCTATTAAAAATATTATTATTTATTATTATATTTATATTCATAATTATAATTATAATTCTTATACTCAAAGTATACTATAATATGATTAATATTAACTTTGATCAGTTAGTTAAAAGTTTATCATAAAAATCACATGCAATTGACTTGAGGTCAGTGATAGTAAGTATACATTAAAATCATTGGAATAAATGGTACCTCCAATCTCGTATTTTTTTAATAAATTATCAAAAAACTCTTTGATATTTTGTTGCAGTATTTTTAAGTTTTTTTTTTAATCAAAATAGAAAATTCAGATAAATTTTAAAACACTGAGTGACGTTTAAAATATTTGATTTTATTTGCAGTGACAAGTACGAGGTAATACCGTAGATTTTTATTTTAGATAAATTATTAAAATTATCTTTTGATGAACAAAATTTTATACGAACATTTGGTCAGACGTCATAAATAAATTTTAATTGTTGGTATTTCCCGGCGATATGTACACAATCTATTTACTCATGATTTGTAAATTATTATTATTATTATTATTATTATTATTAGTAGTAGTATTATTATTATTATTATAATTATTATTATTAAATACTTAATCATTTTTTTAAAAAATCTCACCGGATTAGCAATAAGCAATAATTACTAAACAAGACTTTTGATTTTCATTTTTAATTCAATTCTGATTATTTTTTTTTATTTACAAATGCGTAGATTTTGTATGCCTGTAAAAAATATCCAAAAAGTTTAATATAATTAATTCTTTAGTCACTTATTTATAAAAAAAAAAATTTTTCTTAATTTTCATGATTTTAAGGTTGAATTTTTATAAAATTTTTTTCTAAAAAAAAATTTTTATTTTTTTTTCCATTAAAATAATTTTATAAAAAATAAAATCTTGATTATTTAAAAAGCGACTGCTCGGAATTAATTAATAAAAAATAAAAAAAAATATTATGAGAAAAATGAAATTTTTGAGATTAAATTGTTTATTGTCTGTTATATGTTGATATAAGCCAAGATCCGGTATACCGCTATTTAAAATTTTAACATTTAATTACAGAGTCTTGTGCTCCGTTTTACGATAAATCTATTACTAGCACCATTGTATCATTTTGTCATAATTATTTAAAATTTTAAATACTCAATTTAAATTTATTTTTAAATATTTGAATATAATAAATAACGCAGAGCCAAATCAATTTGCTTTCCTTTAGTTTGATTAAGTTTATGATTATACGATATCAATTTTTATTAAAACTTTTATTATATCTGAATAAAAACCTGAGTCTGATTTAAGTCAATTAAAATTGTCCACGCATCCGCTACACAAGATTGTAGTAATGCAGGTCAAAAATTATTTATTATCATACCATAATAAATATTATTATTTTATTAATTAATTAATCAATTAATAATAGTTTAGTTATTGGTCATCAATGATCGTCTGAATTTTTCATTACTAATTGGATAAATAACTGTGTGCAAAAATATTATTATTATCATTATAAATATTATCATAAATATTTCATACGTTTACGCACGATTACTTGTAGGAAGAAATAAACTGGCAAGACTCGAGCAATCGATTACTATTAGTGTAAATATCCATCTTTTAATTCAATTGCAGACAAAATATAATTTAATTATCACCAGAGCAAATTAATAATATATTTAATAAAAAAAATGTATTGATTGCAAAAAAAAAAATAATATTTAGTATAATTATCTGGCTTTGATAATTTATTTTTAAAATAATTAGCATTTAATAAAAATACTATTTTTTACCCATAAAATATTCTCACAGGTTTGGAATAAATAATGCGCCTGTTAATTAAAAAATTGCTAAATGATTATGCTCAGTATCATTATCCTCAATATCAAATATCAATTATTATAATTATTAATTAGTTAAATGTTTATAGTGGTTGTTTTATTTTATTTGTTTTATTATAAAAATTATAGTGAGATGATCATTCAGACTTGACAGGAATATACGATTGATTAGTGTGATTGATTAGAGTTAACATTTTTTAATTTTCTAAAGCCATAGGCCTAGCATTTTTCACTTTATTTCTATTTTGTTATTTATAATTTATTATTATTTTTTTTTTTCGTATAATATAATATAATATTATAATTACTATTAATATATATCAAATTATAATTATAACTCACATTAATATATTTATAAATATATTACAATTACAATTAACGTAATCACATCCAAATGGGAAGCAAGACCAAGTGCGAGAAAATTGATTAATAGAATTTTAAAATTCAATAAAATTCTAGACAATAAAATTGGTCAAAAATTTTGAGATATAAAATGAATTTATACATATTTTAATTTCTATCAAACTACTAAATAATTAATTAATTAATATTATACAAACTCAATATTATTACATTTATATTTTATATTAATTATTATATTAATGAAAGATAATATTTACAAATACAAATATCAATATCACCCCCACCCAATTGTTCATTATCAACCTCAAGATTATTTATCATTTCATTAATTTAACTTGGTGAGTATTCTTCCCATTATACTAACGGAATTATATTCTTTACACTTAATTTTATTAATAATAATTATTTTAATAATTATTATATACACAGTTTTAAAAAGCGCTAACATTCATACATAACAATATTTATGATTCATTATTTATTAATTATCAATAAAATCATTCATTCTTGTTAATAATCATCGACACTTCGGCACTATTTTCTGTTGGGAACTAGACAGTTTTTTACTTTTTTTACTATCCGAGTTTCGGTTCTTCCCGTGGCTCGTGCTTGAAAGTGAAGTCTTTGATGATCGCGTGCTCTGTACAAATTGTTTCCGGATTTTATTTGGAGTGTCCGGGTCGCTCAAATTGTCCAGCTCGGCCATGGCCTCTTGAATGGCGTTCTCCAGCTGCATATTCAATTTACGACTTCTATAGAGAGAGAGAGAGAGAGAGAGAGAGGAGGCATTTGTCATTTTTTGTTTTTATTGTCAATTATTATTTATAATAGTGAAGACAAGCTTGCTTACTTTTTTAAACTTTGGACTATTTAATTATATCTAAACATTTAAGTGCTACGGTTAAATGCTCGGCATTCACAACTACTGATCAATACTTCAAAGTAAGTGGTTTTATAAATGCTATAAAAGGAAATACCAGCGGGTAAATATTTCAATAATTATTAATTAAGATAGTTTTAATTAAATCATTGGAATATTTTAAAAGCAAATAAAATAAAAAACTACTGTATAGAGAATTGCATAAAGCGCTACGATTATTTTTATTATTTTTATAGCATTTATAAAAGTTTAAGATTTGTTAGTGGTGTTTTTTTTATTGTAACTATTGTGTGTGCCTTATTTAATAATTGTAATTAATATTTCAATTAAAGAAGTACATTATTTTAGGACATAATTTGAAATAATTTATTTTAATTTTATAAAATCATTTACCTTAATTTTATAAAATTATTTAGTTGAAAATAAAAAAAAAATTTTAATTAAAAATTTTTAAAAATAAAAATTGAGAAATTTTTTTTAATAAAAAAATATTTTTTTTTTTTTGTTATTATTATTCTTAAATATCAAATTATTGTCCGGCAATCGTATGTACTGTTAAATAAAATAAAATAAATCTAATTCTAATTGATTTGTTAAAAGCTCATCCCTGTCGGGTATGCGACTCACTTTCTAAAACGTTTTCGTGCTCGGTGATGTGCTTCTAGGCCGTCAGATAGGGATTTGAGGTTCTTGATTTCGACCTGGGTTAAGGTCTCACCGGCCCCGTACCACCTCACACTCACGGTAAAACTTCCTGGTGGTCCAAAAGACTCGACTTTACCCGGCCACGCCGGACTCCCCAGCGCCGCACCCCACACAAGTTCGCCGACTTTCACTTCCCAGTTTCCTTTATCTCCCTCAGACTCCGATACTAATCCAAACAATTCAATAAACATTTAGCTTTTCTCCCCTCAATCTCATTATCCGACAATTATTTATCGTCATCCCCCTCAGCAGTTATTTCGTTACAAATGTACAATTAATAAAATTGTTATTATTCAATTACAGTGATACTAATTTAATGATTAATGATGATTTATGAAGAAGAAACCTTTTTTTCCCCAGTACCGATATGTACACGACGATTATTTTTGTTAGATATTTGATATTTAACTAGCAGCATTGCAGTCACTATCCGGCTGTAAACTATAAATGAATAAAATTTTGCTTTATTAAATTATGACTTTTTTTAAATTGCACTATACTTTCTTAACTATTGACTTTTATAAAGATATAAGCTCATCCCGATGTTATACTCATCAAGAGCTTTCATTTGAGTACCCACATGTATTTTGATATATTTTTCATATATATATAATGTATATAAATATATGAAAAATTGATGTGGGTACTCAAATGAAAGATCTCGATGAGCGTAATGTCGGGGTGAGCTTATATCTTTAAAAATGTCAACAGTTCACAAGATATTTGTTAAAATGCCCTGTACTTTCTTAACTATTGAAGTTTTTAAAGATATAAGCTAATCCCGATGTTACACTCATCAAGAGCTTTCATTTGAGTACCCACATGCATTTTGATATATTTTTCATATATACATATATATAAGATATATAAATATATGAAAAATTGATGTGGGTACTCAAATGAAAGGTTTCGATGAGTATAATGTCAAGGTGAGCTTATATCTTTAAAAATGTCAATAGTTCACGAGATATAAGGTCATTTCTAAATTATGTATCTAGAGATAGAGAATTTTCGAATACAGCCTAAATACCTATCATAATAAATTGACTATCGGTGAGAATGATATGAAACCTTGAAAAAGCACAAATTCAACTGAATAACTTTGCAATGACACTAAATTTCATTAAAAACCCGATTTTATCATATAACTGTCCCGGAAACAAAATTTTTTTTATTCTCTTAATGATATAGATAAAAGTGCTATTAATTTATGACAATTTTATTTTAATAAAGCTTTCATATTTTTATAATAAACGATTTTTTTTTCTTCGTTAATAACGATGAAATAAAATTTAAGTACACAAACAAATGCAATTGCAATGAAGTTATTGATATTTTAAATGATTATAATTTTCACACCATTGTTAAAATTTATTTCATGCGAATTTTAGAAATTTTTTATTCATTAAAAATTTAAATGTACGTGATATTTATGTACAAAAAAAATAAAAAGGGTGAAAATGATTTGTGAGAATTGTGAGCCACACCCCGACTGAAATGAACGCGGACCACGAAAACCCAATTAATGAAATAACTTAATTAATAGTCGCTATTTCGATGTTTATTACTCTAGAGAGAGTGATGCCATGATTCAATTAGACGCATCACTTAATTATTTACTTATTTACATACATCCATACATACATATATTTGCATTTATATGTTTACTATACTAATTGTTATGTTATGTTATGTTACGAGTATGAGTATGAGTATTAATACAGTAGTTATTATAGTAAAATTAAATTACAAATATTTATCGGTTTGAAAAAGCGATGATGTTTAGTGTGTAAATGTTTTAGTGCATAATTTACCTACCTGTGCAATTAAAATTAATTTATCTCAATAAGCCGCTTGCTTGGTTTATTAATTTGTATAATTATTATTATTACTATTATATAAACATTTAATGATTATAATCATAAAATACTACTCACTAGCACGAGGTTAAAATTATTAAAATTTACAATAATTATACTATTTAATATTAATTACTACAATTGTTCATTGTACGGACAATTATAGTCCTTATTATTATTAATTGTGATTAAAATTAATTATTAAGACCATCACCCTACAAGTAAAGCGTTTACGCAAATTAAATACAAATGATTCATGCATGTAAAGTACACGTTAGCATGCTAACAAGTTAATGCAAGCTTTTTTATATTATACAGAATATAAAAATTATTATTTTATTAATTTATAGGATTGAAATTTATATAAAGTTTTTTTACGAGTTGCTCACACAAATTGTCTTTTAATCCGACCATAAATTTTTTTTTCCTAAAAATGTTTTCATGAGAATATAAAAATATTAAAATTTTCTCATAAAAATGTTAAAATTAATTAGCACAAAATTTATAATAAAATATAAACGTTTAATTAGAAAAATTGAAAATATTGATTCAATAAATTTAATAAAACTACAATAAATAAAATAGCAAACAGTTGAAAAAAAATTTTTTTTTTTTTTTTCATAAAAATATAAAAAAAAATTTTTCATGAAAATTTTTTCATAAAAATCTAAAAATTAATTGCCAAAAAATTTATAATAAAATATAAATATTTATTTACAAGAATTAAAAATATTGATTTAATAAACTTATTGAAACCACAATAAAAATGCTAACAGTTGAAAAAAAATTTTTTCATAAAATTCTAAAGAAAAATTTTTTATGAAAATTTTTTCATAAAAATCTAAAAATTAATTGGCAAAAAATTTATAATAAAATATAAATGTTTAATTACAAAAATTAAATATATTGATTCAATAAATATAATAAAATTGCAAAGAATCGAATGATAGGATGTAAAAATTGAGTCGATATTTATTACCCGACAGTTTTTATTAACCGTAAACGTAAAAGCGAGTGATATATTTGGATAAACGGTGGATGATTCTTCCCGGGGAGTAAAATCCATTATTTTGTAGTGAGCAACACGCATCGAGTTAATGGCTGAATAAAATACAATAGAATACAATAGAATGCAACGCAATGGAATGCAATACAATACAATACAAAATACTGACCATCCTGGTCTTCATGCAGAGTCGAGTGCATAGAATGGATGGAGTCCAGCTTTCGTTTGATTCCCTGACCGAGGGTATGCTCTCTGCCCTCACACCTCACTGTGCTCACCACACCCTCGGTTTGCTTCAACGTCTCTGGCGTATAGATCTGCCAAATACAACTTGGTCAACGCATACTCAAATCTCTACACTCAAATTTCTGTTTTTACCAGCAGTACCTATTATAAATGAGGTACTTTTTTTTTCTATTGTTATGTAAATTATTTGTATTGTAGATTTTTGATCAAACAAACGCATGCAAAGTTTGCTTAATTTTAATTCAATTAAATTCATTATGTAAATTATGATTTAATTGCTCGACAGAATTAATTATGATAGTAAATAGTATAAAGTATATAGTATATAGTATTTTGGAGTGTGCATTATGCAAGTAGAGTTTCAAAGTATCGTTTTATTTATAGTAATTTGTAGTCGCAGTAGGATTTAATTGAGTTTTAGATGAAACATAATTAATCCAATGTTTCTAGTTACTGTTATTATTCATTTATTCTAAAATTTTACATAATTACTATCTTTTAAATGATAAAAAAGTTAATTACTTCATTTAAAAAGTGTCGTTAAAATTTTTAAGTGTTATCTTTATTAAAAAATTTATTGCAATAATAAAAACTAGCAATCTTGCAGTCATTATGTGACTGCCGGGATTTGTGAACTATAATTAAACAAAATTTTGCTTTATTAAATAATAACTTTTGTTAAATTGCACTGTACTTTCTTAACTATTGACGTTTTTAAACATATAAGCTCATCCCGATGTTACTCTCGTCAAGAGCTTTCATTTGAGTACCCACATGCATTTTTGATATATTTTTCATATATACATATATATAATATATATAAATATATGAAAAATTGATGTGGGTATTCAAATAAAAGGTCTTGATGTGTGTAACATCGGGATGAGCTTATATATTTAAAAATGTCAATATTTGTTAAATTTTTAATCAGATAAATTTTGTTTCATTAAACTCAAAAATAGTTTAAGTCGAAAAAATTTAGAAAAAAAAAATCATGCAAATTCATTAACCAATTATATTTGTCAAACAAAGTCACGTTCACATGCTCAAGAAGGGCCGCGGATAATTAAATTTATCTGAAGGATAATAATATTTTTTTTTTGAGCATGTATTTATTTATCAATTTATATCTCCATAATTCAATAATATTTAATACCTATCAACTATTAAAATAACTAATTAATTAAAAATAATAATATCAATATAAGAGTAATTTTAAAAATTGCCCGTCACTGGTTAATTAGTACATTTCAATAGACATTTAATTAGTCTAAAATTAAACCAAAAAAAAAAAGTCTCATCTAAACAAAATAAACATTTGTTGAAAATAATTACAGACTTAGTCTAGTAAAATAAAAAAAATAATTTGATAAATTCCTAAGGAGTCGCAAAAGTTAAAAAAAATTACGTAAATTAAAACGATAGATCTTGATTCTAATAATATCTATATAAATTTGTATATTATTTATACATTTATAAATATATCACGTAGGTTTTACTCGTCGTCAGACGAGTCATCGCTATCGTCCTCAGACTGATCGTCACAACCGAACTGATTATTGCTATTACCAACAACAAACAACGTTTTATTAGCGGAATTAGGATTGTGGTGGTGATAATGATGATGATAGTCAACAACAGCAATACCATTGGATCCATTGGATCCATTGGGATCCGAGCGGCAATTTAAATCGTACAAGTGACGATAAAGAGCCGGGGGTGTCGGAGTTGCCCCAACTTCCCCGACATTGTTAAAGTTTATAACTTTCTGACTGGTAACAGTTGCCGGTAATAAATATGTTTCCCCATTACTATTACTGCTAACTACTGCATTACGGCTCATGCTCCCCAACTGTCTTTGCTCCAGCAAGTTTTGGTGCTCTAGATGCTGGCGGTGTTGATGGTGGTGAAGGAACTGTAGCTGCTGAAACTGGGGATTATGATTGTGATTATGATTGTGATTGTGATTGTGATGGTAGCGGTGAAACTCCTGCTGTCTGCTATCATTTCTATATTTGTAAGATTGTGGATTAAGCTCAAGAGTTGGATTAAGTTCATGCCCGTCTTGAACTTCCATAACAGTAGTTTCACCCTCGACAAATGAGTCTAACGAATGAGGAGTCAAACTTTCCTGATTTCCTCTTGTTAATTTATTTCCCGGCAAATGCGTGTAGTCAGCGTGGTCTAGCGGCGGAATTTCATTCTGATGTTGTTGCTGTTGTTGACAGTATACAATACCATTATCATTATCGGGGGGAGCGATACAATTGTACGGAGGATGAACAACGGATTGATAATGCTGGGGATTGTTAGAAAGCGAATTACTATTATTGCTATCCGAGGGAGTGATTATTGTTGTTGTTGTTGTTGTTGTTGTTGTTGTTTTAATATTTGTGGTATCGGTGGTATTGGAGTGGTTTGGTGATGAGGTGTCCATGTTCTCCTGTGAGTCAACGTAAGTGTTTTCGGGGTGTGTCGTATCTGCTGGCTGGTGCAAGTCTACAGTAAAACCCCGAGTGACTGGTGATACGCGGTGATTACCAACCTGGATCCCTGTCGTGACTGTCGACTCGACGTAGGTCTTTCCATGTTGGAGGCCGACCTGGCTGAGCGTCAGCTCTTTAGTGGTTATTCCTTGGATCCGCCAGTCGTCACCCGGGTTCTGGAGGTCGCCCGAGTCCGGCTCGCTGCTGGAGATGCAATGAACCATTGGCTAAACATTTTAATATTCATTAATCCATTGATCAACTTTGTAAATGTTCATAAAAAAAAAAAAATATTGAATCAATTATTGGTAATTATTTACAAGTGGGGTCAACTCTATTTTGGGCCATAACTAAGTGAAAAATTGACATTTTCAAATTTTTTTTTGATTCTGCTTGTTTTCACGGCGGGTTTATGATAATAAATATCGTAAAAGAAAAAAAATAAAGATTTCAATCATTTTTGTGCCTTCAAAAGTTGGAAAAAATATTAGCTTTCATGTTTTTGGATAAAATTTTTATTTTATCTTTTTTTGATACATTTTTTTTTGAAAAGTAAGGTAAAGACCCAGTTACTGACACTGGCCTATTTAATGACACTTGTAATTTTATTTTAATTAAAAAAAAAAAAATCAACTCTAATAAATTAATAAATACTAGCAACCTTGCAGTCACTATGTGACTGCCGTGACTTGTAAACTATAAATAAATAAAATTTTGTTTTATTAAATAATGACTTTTGTTAAATTGCACTGTACTTAACTACTAGAAATTTGAATAGCGCGCTACGCGCGCGCCTAAATTTTAACCAATAATGAATCGTGGCCCGTTTTTTTACGAGTTTCGACCTTTGACTAACTTCAAGACTATCATGTATTTTAATTTAAAGGATT